CACACACACACACACACACACACACACACACACACACAATATATATATATATATATATATAAATAAAGATTTCAGTGTGTCGAAGCGATGGAGATGGAACTAAAACATAGTGTTCACACCGTCGACAAATTCAACCACCATGTTAGAAACATGGACTCCCACGGGATATATGTGACCAACAAATCAAATGTAGACAGGCAGACACCATTGATACACTGTATTGGAATACACATTATTTGTGCAGCTATTAAACAAAAGATAGGAAACCATTGTACTCGTTACGGATCGAAATACGGATCGAATATAAATTTGGTAGACTATGACAAGGGTACTTTCTACCAAATGCCGCTGTAGGAAATTGCACCATGATATTTTGTTTAAGTATTCTGAATAAATAGCTATATTGGATTTTGTGTAGAACTTTGTAGAATTAGGGTTTTATATATGGCAAAGCACGAATTCTGGACGACGATATGGTCCCCTGCACACAGTTATTGCCGAATATTCCCCCAAAAAACCAAATAAAAAGCCGTGCAAAGACATCTGCCACGATTCGCAATTGTGCCATGGTGGTGTGCGTCGGACATAAACACGCCCAATAGACATCCTTCAACGTACGATATGTGAATACACTCAACAAACTGCAATATGTGGAGGTTATTTCAATTCATTTGGCTCTGCTTTATTGCACTGCCGACACCTTTTGCATCTCCGATGAAGTGAAGGGCTGTTGTTTCTGCGCGCGTGTCTGTGGCTGTGTTGATGTCTTTGTCTGTAATTGCGCATGTGGCTGTGGTTGTGCATACGTGTATGTGTGTGGCTGCGTGTGCGACTGCGCCTGTGCGGGGGTTATGGCAGTCGGTGGCTGTTGTTGCGAGAGTGTATTGGGCTGTGGTGTCTGTGGCTGGTGTAGTGCCTGTTCATGGGCTGGTTGTCGTGCCTCTATCCACGTAGGTGCGGGTGCCTGTGCGTGTGTACCCGTGTACGTGTTTAGCTGACCCTTCCCATGCGTTGGTCCCACACTCCCCCCCTGTGACAGCGTGCGTGTGTTTGCTTGTATAGTGATAGGGGCCGTCGCTGTTTCCTTCGGCTGCAGTTGTATCTGCTTGATCATGTGTGGGGCTGTCTTGGACAGGGCCTGTTTGCCCTGAGAGCCCTTTTTCCTCCCCCCAGGTGGCTTGTGATGTTGGGCAGCGTGCTCAGCGCTGCAGTAGTTGAGTGGTGCTATGCGCGATTTGACACACCCTCGCAGGTGGCATCGCTAGTTATATTAGTATGGAGAGAGAAAGTTATGGTGCTAAGCTAAAAGAAGTGTATATGAGGAGGATAAGATAAGGTACACACATAGAAGGGTAAGGACAGAGAGAACGAATGGGGCAAAGTTAAAAGTGTATTAACCAAAGGTAGTCTGGAGGCATGTCCAGACCACTGGCGACAGTGTGGCTGCAAGGGGATTTCAGCTGAATCTGTTGCGGCGTATATATAATGTCTAACGTCGTAAGAAAATACAAACAAACATACAGACGCAGACGCAGGCGCAGACGCAGACGCAAACCCATATAAACACGTGTACACACACGCACACGCACATTTATATATATTTATATATATATATGCATCCTGTTCATACGTTATGTTCTAAAAGTTTATATACTATCATATGTATAGGTACGCAAACGTTCAGATACCAAATAAATGCATCTGCGCGACGGACA